CTCAGCTCAGTGTAATCTCCACCTCCCGGATCCAAGCTCAGGGAAGTGGAGATTACACTGAGCCTAGATATTCTCCTGCCTCAGCCTCCCAAGTAGCTGGGACTACAGGCCTGTGCCACCTGGCTAATTTTTGTATTTTTAGCAGAGGCAGGGTTTCACCATGTTGGCCAGGCGGCTCTCAAACTCCTGACCTCAGGTGATCCATCCACCTTGGCCTCTCAAAGTGTTGGGATTACGGGCATAAGCCACCGTGCCCGGTCTGAGACGTGTTCCTTTAAGAAGTGATTGGGTTATGAGAGCTTTGCCCTCAAGAATGGTTTAATGGACTCATGGATTAATGGGTTAATAGTTAAAACTGATTATCATGGGAAGGGACTGGCAGCTTTCTAAGAAGAGGAAGAGAGAGCCCAGCCAGCACCTCAGCCCCCTTGCCATGTGATGTCCTATGCGGCCTCCGGACTCTGCAGAGTGTCCCCAACGGCAAGAGGGCCCTCACCAGATGTGGCATCTCAACCTTGGACGTCACAGCCTCCAGAGCTGTATAAAATAAATTCCTTGTCTTTTAAATTACCCAGTTCTAGGTATTGTTACAAGCAACAGAGATGGACAAATACGTTACCACAATTTCTAAAATAAGGACAAATAAAAGAGCATTTGAGCTAAGACCTAAAGGATGGATCTTCCTCCCAAGAAGAAGGTATTCTGGGCAGAGGGAACAGTGTGAGTCTAGCCTGACATGCCGGAGGCCCTGGGGTGTCCCAGGAAGGGGCAGGCGCTGAGGCCAGGGAGGTTGGGAGCGGCCCAGCCACGAGGCTGCCTGAGACTCAGTCTCCCCACCTACAATGTGGGGATGCTGTCGCTCACTTCACAGAGACAAGGTACCACATCAGCTCAGCAGACGGGGTCTGCAAAACAGGAGGAAAAAATCCCAGCCAGGGCCTTAGTTTCTCTGAGGTACAGATGTTGGCTGCAGGTTTACATTTGGGGGCCATAAAGCTTCCCAGAATTTCAGCAACCCCACCTCCACCCATCCCCCCCGAAAGGAAAGAAAATTGCTTTCCCTACAGTCCAGGTGGGCCACCCCCGACCCAGCCCAATAGAGACCTGGCCACCAGAGCCCGGATGGAGCAATGTTCCTGAGTAGCCACCAGAGGACGCACTGTACCCGCCAACCCAGCGTGTCTCCCGCTCTGGACAGAGAGGACAGGCAGGAAGGCTGACTATCCTGGGACACGTTCCTGGGCCGGGGGCTCCAAGATTATGTTGAAAGCTGTCCCTGAGCCATGAAAGACATCCGGAGCCATGGATTCATAGCCACGGAGATGTCCGAGTTGAAAGGGGTTTACGATGGGGACTCTTTTGCAGAGCTGAGGCCCGGAGAGCAGAAGCTAAGCTGTCTATCATTGTACCACGGGGAAGGGCAGAGCAGGGAGTGGAACCCATGAGACCCACATCCCTCTGCACTCCGCATCTGCTCCAGGGGCCAAGGCCAAATGCAACTGTGGGAGGGGGCTCCAGCATCCCTGCCATCCCCTGCTCTCCCAAGATGCTAAGCCACAGAGAAACTGAGGCACGGAGAGACGAAGAGGCAGAGGTTGTCTACATCCCTCCTGAGCAGGTCAGGGCCCCAGGTGGGTCCCAGGGAGCCCCTCTCCTCCCCTCAGAGCCAAGTTAGGGGACAGCCGCTGTGACCAGCCAAGAAGGCCAGGTCACTGTGCCTGAAGGCTCAAAGCCCCGCAGGACTGCAGTTTGAAGGGCATCGGGGTCAGCCCACGATGGGCCCCTGGAAGGTGGACTATGATGGGTCCCCAGGGCCTCCCCTGGAGGAAGTGGACACCTGAGCAGGTGCCCGGGGGCTCCCCAGCTTCCGCAGGGCCTCCCTCCCCTCCACCACCTCCCTCTTCAAATCACAGCCGGAAAAGGCACCTCCCATCTTGGGTACAAGAACCTTCACAGGGGCCTTGACCTTCTATGACTCTACCCCACAGAAATCAGCAGAAGCAGACGGAGACGGCCCCTGAAGCACTTTGGCGCATAATGTCATTTAATCCTCAGACCGACCCCATGGCAGATAATACGATTAGTTCATCCCATTTTGTAGCTGAGAAACCTGAAGCCAGGACGAAGAAGGCAAGTTGCTTGGCAGCTCACTCCAGAAACGCCGCGTGCCAGGCGGCGTCCATGGCTCAGCCGCTGCAGCCCCTGAGCGCTCTGTCTCCCTCAGGCAGGTAGGGTGAGGGCCCCGTCTTAAAGATGAGGAAGACGAGCCACAGAGAACAAACTGTCCTGTTGCTCAACCTCTCCTGGCTTCTTGTCACCTTCCAGGTGGGTGGCAAAGGCACGTTAAGGAAGTCCCTCAACTCCCTGGTGGGGGAGGGGGAGGGGGAGCCTCTGCAGGGGACTGGAACCAGTCGAAGGACCCCAGCAGCCAGGCAGGGACACGGTTCCCCACCCCCGACATCTTACCCAACTGCCCTCCATTGCTTTACCCAGCGCTTGAGGCTGGAAGGCTCATGGCTCATTTTTCTAACTACCTTCCAGCCATGGGTAGCCAGGGCGGTGTTCTGGCCAAGGAGATCTCGGTGGAAGTCTGTGAGGAAGGGCTTCACTTCCCAAATGTTATTTATTTATTTATTTATTTATTTATTTATTTATTTATTTATATGTTTGTTTGTTTTTGAAATAGAGTCTCACTCTGTCACTCAGGCTGGAGAGCAGTGGTGGAATCTCAGCTCACTGCAACCTCTGCCTCCCAGGTTCAAGCGATTTCCTGCCTCAGCCTCCCACATAGCTGGGACTACAGGCATCTGCCACCACGCCTAGCTAATTTTTGTATTTTTAGTACAGACGGAGTTTCACCATGTTGGCCAGGCTGATCTCGAACTCCTGACCTCAAGAGATCTGCCCACCTCAGCCTCACAAATTGCTGGGATTACAGGCGTGAGCCACCATGTCCCGGCCACTTCCCAAACTTTAAAAAAGCCTCCCAAGACCTTTGGCTTTTCCAGTGCCTCTCTGCCTGGAATGAAACATGAGTGCTAGAGGCGCAGTAGGCACTTTGGAACTACGAGGGCAAACACCACGAGTTAGGGGCAGCGGAGTGGGGAGAGCATGCCCTGTGACCGTGCTGCTGACCTGTGCGCCAGCCCCAGAGTTCCCATCATGTGGGAAGGAGAGACCTCTCCTTCTATTAACACAGGGACCATTACCTACTCAAGGTCGAGTTCCATCTGAGCCAGAGCAATCCTGAGTAGAGGTTAGTTTTTTGTTTGTTTGTTTTTTGTTTTTTGGGTTTTTTTGAGACAGAGTCTCGCTCTGTCTCCCAGGCTGAAGTGTAGTGGTGCAATCTCAGCTCACAGCAACCTCTGCCTCCCAGGTTCAAGTGATTCTTCTGCCTCAGCCTCCCAAGTAGCTGAGATTACAGGCACCCCCCCCTCCACCCCACGCCTGGCTAATTTTTGTATTTTTAATAGAGACAAGGTTTTACCATGTTGGCCAGGCTGGTCACTAACTCCTGACCTCAGGTGATCTGCCCACCTCAGCCTCCCAAAATGCTGAGATTACAGGCAGGAGCCACCACGCCAGCCAAGTACTCTTAGCATCTTGGCTGACGAATGAGTAGCTGTATGGCCTCGAGCAAGGGGTTTTGTGGTCAAAGAGCCTCCGTTTTCTCTTCTGGAACAGGCCCGTGTGCTCCCTGCACAGGCTGTCGGAGGGTCAAATAAGACATCGAGTGCCCGAGCCCAGGATGGAGCGCACAGGTGCGAAGGTTGCATGTTAGGAAAGGAGAAAGGGGCTGTAGGGAGGAGAAGGGGAGAGGCCCTGCCCTGGCTCCTCCCGCTCAGGAAAGGCTGTTTGGGAATGAGGTCTTAATGGGGGAAATGGGGCAGCTCCTCCTGGCAGATCAGCAGCTCCCTGAGCCCCTAGACCCTGCGCCCCTGCCCCTTTCATGAAGTGCAAGCTCAGCCAACTCAGTTACCAGCCTGGCCAGCAAGATGGCTGCTGTACACCCTGGGGACGCGGGAAGCGACCCCACACACTCCAGCCTTCCAAGCCTCTCCTCCACCACCTACCCAGGGTTGGGCATTCTCCATCAGGGATTCACTCCTTCTGATCTGAAGGCTTGCAGGAGCACCCTGGGTGATGAGGGCTGGCACCCTGATGAAAGACTGTGGCTCTGGGGGGTGCTCAGAGGCCATTGCTGAGGCGTGAGTGTCTTGGAACATGTCACCCCCCTGAACGGTGGTCAGCGCTGGCCCTGGGAGCAGGGAAAGGGAAGAAAAGGAACTAGCACATCAGGGATGTGCCTGCAGCAGACAGAGGCATGTCCCAGCACATTGGGTCAGCTCAGCAAGCCTGCAGGAGGGGGTGACTGGCCTCAAGACAAGAAAAATCACCCTTAGGAGAAGCCAGGGACCTCCCAGAGTCACACAACAAGTAACCGCACAGAGCTGGGCTTCGAACCCGAGCCTCTTCCACACTGAGGCCCAGCCCTGTGGTGGGGACGACTCCCTCCCCTCCCAAGGCCTTCCGTAAAATGTGGCGTTTAAAAGACATGAGCTTGGCCAGGTGCGGAGGTTCACGCCTGTAATCCCAGCACTTTGGGAGGCCGAGGTAGGTGGACCATTTGAGGTCAGGAGTTTGAGACCAGCCTAGCCAACAGGTGAAACCCTGTCTCTACTAAAATACAAACATTAGCCGGTGCAGTGTTGGCACTGAGGCAGGAGAATCACTTGAGCCTGGGAGACAGAGGTTTCTGGGTGAGAGAGCAAGACCCTGTCACGAAAGAAAAAGAAAGAAAGGAAAGAAAGGAAGGAAGGAAGGAAGGAAGGAAGGAAGGAAGGAAGGAAGGAAGGAAGGAAGGAAGGAAAAGAAAGAAAGAAAGAAAGAAAGAAAGAAAGAAAGAAAGAAAGAAAGAAAGAAAGAAAGAAAGAGAGAGAAAGAAAGAGAGAAAGAGAGAAAGAAAGAAAGAGAAAGAAAAGATGTTTGGACCCCGCAGAATGGCTCCTGCAAAGAAGGGTGGCGAGAAGAAAAAGGGCCGTTCTGCCATCAACGAGGTGGTGAGCTGAGAATGTAACCGCGTTCTGGGGTGCCCGGGAGGCACCGCTCCCCCGAGAGAATGTTGTAGGTTCCTGGTCTCTCACCCTGTTAAGAATGAGAGAGGGGACCACCGCAGGTGCGCAGTAAGCTCGTGCAGTAAATACCGGACCCAAGAAGGGTTGCAGAAAAGTTATTTATTTAGGTGAAGAAAGAGGGAAAAAAGGAGGAGAAGGGCGAAAACTTCCACAAAGAGTGTGGACGGGAACTCCAGAGGGGAAATCCAGGAGAGAGAAAGACAGCTTCTACGAGGAGGAAGGGGACCCAAACACGGAGTCCAAAGGGGTGTGGAAGACGCAGACGTTAGCCTGGGAGGAAGCCCTCTTTCTCCTAGTCCCCTGGCCAATGAAAGGAGATCCTTAGGGCTTCCGCCTGAGTGATTGACTTTTTGATTCTTCCCGCGCCTGCGAAATTCAAACATAAATCGTTTAATCTCCCAGATGGGGGAGAGATGGGAGGGGGGCATGGTGCTGGGAAATTCTTCCTCTTAAAACTACACCCGCTTGTGGACCCGGAAACAGAACACATTCCGTCAAGAACACACCATCAACATTCGCATCCATGGAGCGGGCTTCCAGAAGCGTGCCCCTTGGGCACTCAGAGAGAGCTGGAAATGTGCCATGAAGGAGATGGGAACTCCAGATGTGCGCACTGATATCAGGCTCAACAAAGCTGTCCAAGCCAAAGGAATGAGGAATGTCCCATACCCAATCCATGTGCGGTTGTCCAGAAAACGTAATGAGGATGAAGATTCACCAAATAAGCTCTATCCTTAGGTTACCTATGTACCTGTTACCACTTTCAAAAATTTACAGACAGTCAATGTGGATGAGAGCCAATCGCTGACCGTCAAATACATCAAATAAAGTTATAAAATTGCAGGGAGAAAAAAAAGACACAAGCTTCCATGCCCCCCCCCACCCTGCCCCGCCAAGTCAGCTACTATGGGCGCACTGCCGGGAACTTAGGAGAGGGGGCTCTGGAGCGGGTCTGCTAGGGCCCCCAGCTCACGCCTTGCATGAGCATTTGGTGCGCTCATCACCTGTCTCCCTTCTCGGGGCTCCTCGTGAGAGCTGCGCTGTTGTAACAGGCTCCTTGGAGGGCAGGAGCAGAAGGGACAGGGGCGGGGGGCGTCAGGGAGAGCCGAACGAGGAGGCGGAGGAAGGAAGATCGGTGACATCACAGACGCAGGTCTGTGAGCACCAGGGCTCCTGTTCTGTGGCCCTCGGATGGTCCCACAAATCTGTGGGCAGATAAATCCCAGTTCGCCACTTCCTGGCCTCTCAAAGAAGCCCTTTGTCTGGTGAGTATCAGAGGCTACTTCCGGCTCTACAAGGGCCTGATCAAATGGAGACAAAGGACCCACACACCGGCCTGAGAGGCCCCAGGGAGTGCCCGCCAGCCCCCAACTTCCGCAGCCCGGGTGACCAAGGGGGGGGTTCCTGCAGCCCGGCTGAGATCAGAGGCCACGGGGACAGGCAGCCACGGCTACTGGGAAGTCCGTGGAGGACCCGAGATAAGGGAGTGGCAGGAAGGGAGTCAGCAGGGACCGGAATCAAAGACTCCAGAGGGCCCCTTTCTGGAGCCAGAGGGCATTTTTTAAAAATAAATAGAGCGCTGGAAGCCTTCTGTAGCGGCACATCAGCCTCAGGCCGACTCCACTCCAGCCTGCCCCCAGCCCACGAGGCCCCGGGCTGCTCACCTTCAAGCAGCCTTGTGTGGGCTCTCCAAACGCAGGCAGCCCTGCTCCTGGTTGGGAACTTGGCCCCCGCGGTTGGCTCTGCCAGTGGAACTCTCCACCGACTGTCCACGTCCCCTGCTTCCTCCTTACTTTAGGGCTTTGCTCTAGAGACTCTCCCTGACCCCTGACCCCTCTGCCGAATTCTCCCGTCTCCACCCTTCCCTCTCCCTCTGGAGCCTGCTTGCCCTGGGCTTTCGTCCTCACATCTCTTCTCAAGGTTACCCATGGCCTGCCTCTGGCTGGACCCAACTGTCGAGTCCCACGGGTGTAGGCCGCAGCAGCAGCCCCTGACTCTGGACGGCTCGGTCTCCTCTCTGTCCTCAGCAGCTTCTCTCTGGCTTTCCTCCTGGTTCCTGGATCCTCTGCTGGTGCCCCCTGGCTTCCCTGACCTCCTGGGAGGCCCTGGTCCTGCGCTTCACCCTCACTCCCTCCTTAGATGATCCACGAAGTCTCTGGCTCCCACCACCTCTGTCTCCCTGACCCACCCCTCCAGCCCCAGCCTCTCCCCAGAGCATGAACTCCTATGTCCTCGTTCAGTTCCAGGAGTCCACCCAGCTGAGTGACGGCATCTCATAGCCCACGTGCCCAAACCCAGCCCCGGCGGGTGGCCCCTGCCCTACACCTGCTTTCACAGCACCCCCAGCTCTGTGGATGATGAGGCCCCCTCACTCATCCTCCACCCTGTTCCTCCGACACCCCAAGCCTGCAGGCCCGGGATCCCACCCCTTCCATGGCTCCTGTTGCTACCAGCCTCAACCTCCCAACTTCACCCTTGTCCCCTTCAAAATGCTCCCGTCCTGTCCTCCCCAGCAACCCCCAACTCGGAGTAAACGGCCAGCAAGTGTGCAGCTGGCCCGAGCCCTCTGCTGGGACCTCTGGAATCCCCCACCCCCGCCCCTCGCCCCTCACTCCAGCTGCAGGGCTCTCCTCACAGTTCTCAAACATTCCAAGCTGCTCCCAGCTCAGGGCCTGTGTGTTCGTGTTACCCCTGCAAGGCTCACTCCCTCACGTCAAAATATCACTGGATCAAGGAACCCCAAAACAGCACCCCCAGGACTCCCCACCTCCTCCCCCAGATTACTTTCCTTCATCTCATGCATCCCCAGCTGGTGGCCTCCCACAAGCAGGCAGCTCCCTGTTTTTTTGTTCAATGCCAGCACAGAGGTCATGCCTGGCACACAGGAGGGGCTCCAGAAACATTGGCTGAGTCAGAGGATGAATGAGCCGAGCTGAGTGTTGAAGGCTACGTGAGCCTGCCAGGCGGGTGGTGGGAAGGGATGTTCCAGGCAGAGGGAACAGCATGAACAAGGCCGAGGCACAAAAGGACCCAGCATGTCCGAGGAGGCAGGGAGTGGTGCTGTGCAGACCAGAAGGAGGAGGTCCAGGCCGGGGAGTTCAGGGCTGCGGAGTCAGGCAGGGAGCCTGGTCAGAAGAGAATGTGTTTGCTCTTCCTTTCATTCATTTATTCATCGAATATTTATTTGCTTGTTTGTTTGGTTTGTTTGTTTGAGACAGTCTCACCCTGTCACCCAGGCAGGAGTACAATGGCGCAATCTCAGCTCACTGCAACCTCCACCTGCCAGGTTCAAGCAATTCTCTGCCTCAGCCTCCCCTGTAACTGGGATTACAGGCACCTGCCACCACGTCTGACTAATTTTTTGTGTCTTTAGTATAGACCAGGTTTCACCATACTGGCCAGGTTGGTCTCGAACTCTTGACCTTGTGATCTGCCCATCTCAGCCTCCCAAAGTGCTGGAATTACTGGCATGAGCCACTGTGCCCAGCTTCATTGACTATTCATTAAGCCCTATGAGAAGACTTGCTCTTCCCATCTAAAGGGATAAGACTTGACCTTGAAGGTACTTGGGAGCCATTGAGAGACACAGCAGGGGCAGCGCACCTCACTGCTGGTCACAGGATGGAATCCCAATATGTCCCCAGATCCTTCCCTACCCCCAGGGGTGCCTGCTAAGCCACAGCTTCCATTCCAAGGCAGCATTGTGGAGTTCCGGGGAGAGCATGCCCAGCGAGGTTTCTCCTGGCAAGGCCGCAGAGCAACTGAGTCTCCACGACAGCCAGCCTCTCCACCTGCGACCCCCTCAATGTGTGAGTCACGTGGCCCGGATGGGGTCTGTGAACCTCCCGAGCGGGAAGAACCTCAGAGAATCCAACCCTTCGTTTTCCAGACCGGGCTACTGAGGCCCACGGAAGACAAGAGACTTATTCAAGTTCCCACCATGTCTCGGACAGAACCCTTGTTTGCAAATGACAAGCACCTGATTCAGACTGACTTTTTGGAAAGGAGGAGGGATTCGGCTCATGTGACCAGGATGTCGAAGAGTGAGCCTCAGGTGTGGTTGGATCCAGGCTTTCCTTGGGACACATGCTTCCCCTTTGACAAACACTTGCCATGGATCTGCAGGACTCTCAGTGGCCATGCCTAGGGATAATGTGTCTACTCCTGGAGTAGGGGGTGAGGCGGTGGGGGGAGTGTCAACCCCATGTGGCACCCTGGGGCTGAGAAGAGGGTAGGATCCTAAAGGAAAATTGGAGTGCTGGCCCAAGAACAGGGATAACAAAAGCTGATGTCCCCACACCCAGGAGCTCAGGGATAGAACCCAGACCAGATCTTCACCATCCAACTCCAAACCCAGCACCCACCCTTCTTCCCCAGACTCCCTCAGGAAGATGAACAGCGTGGAAGCCGGAGCCGCAGGCAGGGGACCGGGGAAGAGGCTGTCCGGGTGAGAAGGCAGTGAGCCCCTTGGAAGAAACTCATCAATCTCCTAACTCCCAACTCACTTTCCCATGTCAGCATTTTGCTGAGAGAAACATCTGTCACTTCTTCAAGATGAATAACACACCAACACCATTATTAATGTATTCTTAAGTGGTGTTTAGAATCCACTTCATTCTGACTAAAATGACATACATCTTTGCTGACTTGTTCAGACCCCAGAGGCCTGGCACTGCATGGCTGCTGCCCAAACTGGGTGGCCCCTGAGTATCACCCCCCAAAGCAAGTAGCACAGGGCCAGGCTCACAGCAGCCTAACAGCAGGAGAATACAGCTCCCCAGCCCTGAACGAGTGAGAGAAACCTGATACCAGTGAGGGCCAGTGACATGAGTAACGCGGGCTACTGCTGGCAGGTGTGTTGGAGTCATTATTTTGGAAAAGTCATCTAGCAGAGTACTTTTACTGCCTAAAAAGGTACATGCTCCTTCCACCTCTGGAAAGACCTCTTAGAGATGTAACTGGAGATGTGAGAAAAGCTTTGAGTGCCAAAGATGTTCATCAGGGCATTGTTTATAACAGAGAGAAGTTGAAACTTACCCAAGTATCCAACCAGGCTATGTCCAACCATAACCTGAAATGGTTAAGCAAACTCAGCAGGCCCATTCTATGGAACCTTCTATGTCTATTCAAAAATGTGGACTTCAAAAATTATTGTCTTAAGATTATTTGATGGGAAAAAGTTAAGGCTTATGAAAGCCCATGTCCAAAGAATGATTTTTAGCATCAGAGGAATGTCCCAGAGTTCCACGGCCAGAAGCACCACGGAGATACACAAAGCCCAGCAGGTTCTCAGCAGCACGTGTCTCTGCAACCCCACAAATCCCCCCTGCTTCTCTCTGGCTGCAGAGTTCTCTCTCTCTGCAACCCAGCCCGGCTGCTCTGTCCCTGGAGCCTACCCACTGCTCCAGCTCAACCTCACAGCTGTTTCGTCTTCTCCTCCTGTTGAAAGAAAATGAGACAAGGAGAAAGGAAGAAAACAAAGGAGGGAGAAAGAGAAGGAGGGAAGGAGAAAAAGAGGGAAGGAATGAGGAAGAGAAAGAGAGCGGGGGGAGGAAGAGAGGGTGGGCAGGGAGAAAAGACAAAGAAAGAATTTCTAGAAGGGACAGCTGAATTAGCTCAGCTTTGATCGAGTGACCACCCCTCCCCAGTCCTATCAGCTGTGCTGGCCCAGGAGAGCTTCCCATAGCACAGCAGGCTCCCCGTATTTTGGGGTGTGGTAAGGCAGGATGCAATGACTGATGTCCCAAATCCTAGTACATAATTGCTGGGTGTATTAGGTATCCCTTGCTGCATAACAAATTAGTCCCATGCTCAGTGTTTTAAAACAGCACTCATGATGTCACAAGGGAATTGAGAAGTTTTTCTGGGTGGCTGTGACTCAGGATCTCTCAGGAGGCGGCAGTCAACACGTCAGCCAGGGCTTCCGTCTTCCCAAGGCTCACCTGGGCTGGGGACTCTGCCTTCAAGCTCTCCACGGGGCTGTGAGCAGCAGGCTTTGGTTTCTTGTTGGCTGTTGGGGAGAAGCCTAAGTTTCTCACCCCACAGGCCTGTCGGTAAGGCTGCTCAGGACAGGACAACTGGCCCTGCAGAGCGAATGACCTAAGAGAGAAAACTAACAACACAGAAGCCGCAGCATCTCTCATAGCCCAGCCTCGGAAGTGACACCCCATCCGTGCTTCCATATTTTATCTGTCACACAGATGCACCCTGGAACAGTGCTGGAGGGGATGACACAGGAGCACAAACCCCGGGAGAAGGGACCATTGCGAGCCACGTTAGAGGCTGAGGCTGGCTAACATACATAGAAAATACTTGGTCCACAAAACCGGTTTCAAAAGTGGATATGCTCTACCCGTTTTTTTTTTGTTTGTTTTGTTTTGTTTTTGTTTTTGTTTTTGTTTTTGTTTTGAGACAGAGTCTTACTCTGTCACCCAGGCTGGAGTGCAGTGGCACTATCTTGGCTCACTGCAACCTCTGCCTTCCGGGTTCAAGTGATTCTCCTGCCTCAGCCTCCCAAGTAGCTGGGATTATAGTTGCATGCCACCACACCCAGCTAATTTTTGTCTTTTTAGTAGAGACCGGATTTCGCCAAGTTGGCCAGGATGATCTTAAACTGCTGACCTCAAGCGATCTGTGCACCTCGGCCTCCCAAAGTGCTGAGATTACAAGTATGAGCCACCGTGCCCAGCCTACCTATTTTTAAATTAAAGAATCAAGTAGGGTAAACATAGTCTCAAAGAAAGCTTTCCTTTTAAAAGAAATTGCCTTTGATTCCTTCTGCTGGGTCATGGAGGACCTACCTGGGCCAGATCTGAGATCTGCGTGCACGCAGTAGGCAGGCTGGGTGACACTCACCATCCAGCCCCCATGCGCAACCATCTTCCTGGTCACAGGATGGCCACGGGGCAAAGGGCAGTTGCACCTCGCCATGGCTGGGGCTCAGACACACGTGTGACGAGTCTGGCTGACTTGGGACAGGCCTAATGGAAACCAGGCAGAACTGCCAGGAGCTGAGGAGGAAAGGCTCTGTAGGAGAAAGCAGAGAGTGGGTAACGGGGAGATTCAGTGGCAGGGGCCCGGGGTGGAGGGGCTCTTGGTTCTGGACACACCTTGACACTTGGTACCAGGACCAGCTCCAGTGGTGACAACCCTGGGTGGGGAGGCTGAGTGTGGGCAGCGAGAGCTCCTTTGAAGATGGTCCATGCTGCCCTGCCAGGGATCCACCCTCGAGGAGCCCATCCCCATTCTCCCCAGCAAGCAGTACGCTCCCAAAGCGGCAGAGGACTGAGAACACAGGGGCCCTGGGAGGCAGGACCGGGCTGGGGCAGGGCCCTGTTGGAGACACTGGAGGCAGCAGCAGCAGTGGGAGCGGGGTTCGGGATTCACCACACACTCAAGAGGGGAGAGGGACACACCAGGAGCTGGAGCTCCCACAGGAGGAGGTGAGGGTGGGGCCAGATTCATACCTGAGCAGCGTCAGACATGAATGCTGACACTGGTAATGAGACTTTGATCACCTGATGATTCCTAGAACCACAGAAGCCAAAATACGCAGGCCCAGAGGAACCACATGAGAAATCTAATCCAGACCCCACAACTCTCACCAGCTACTCAAAGACTCGACCACTCCCAGCAATGGCGAGCTCACTACTCCGTAAGAAAATTCATCCTATCATGGGGCAGTCCCCCAGATAGAGAGCTCTATCCGACATCTTAGACACAATATCTGTCTCCCTGTGGGTGCCACTCAGTGGCCCTAGCTCTGCCTTCTGGTGCCTCATAATTTAAACCAGCACCCACCCCTCCTGCTCTCCCTCCCACTGTTCATCAGCTCCTCCCCACACATCACAGACCATCAGAAACCATGTGTGCTTCCACACTGCGGTGTGAGCTGTTCCGCATAGCACTACGCACACGCTAGAACAGTCGAAATGAAAGACCGACCACGCCAAGTGCGGTGAGGATGGGGAGCAGCGGCAACTTTCACACTCCCCAGTGGGAAGGCACGGCCACCCTGGAAAATGGTCTGCCCCACCCAGCCCTTCCACTGCTGAGGATTTACCCAAGAGAAACAGAAACACATGTCCACAAAGGCAGGCACATGTGAATGTCCCTAGCCACTTGCTTAGAATAGTCAAAACCTGAAGACAACCCAAATGCACATCCACAGGTGAATGGAAAAACAAATTGTGGTATATCCATGCAACAGAATACTACTCAGCAATGAAAAGGAGCAAGGAGCACACAGCAACAGAGACAAATCTCAGGAAAGAGTTCACTGAATGAAGGAAGCTAGACAAAAGTCTCATACTCAGCCAGGCATGGTAGCTCAAGCCAGTAATCCCAGCACTTCGGGAAGCCAAGGCGGATGGATCACTTGAGGTTGGGAGTTCGAGACCAGCCTGACCAACATGGAGAAACCCCATCTCTACTAAAAATACAAAATTGGCCAGGGGCCTATTATCCCAGCTGCTCAGGAGGCTGAGGCAGGAGAGTCGCTTGAACCCAGGAGGCGGAGGTTGCAGTGAGCCGAGATCAACCCATTGCACCCCAGCCTGGGCAACAAGAGTAAAACTCCATCTCAACAACAACAAAAAAAAAAGTCTAATAATCTGTGCTTTCAATTATAGAAACCCCTAGAAAAGGAAGAGAGATCTGAAGGGTGAGAAAACAAATCACTGCTGGGAAAGGGAGTGGAGAACTGGAGGAAAGGATGGGCAGCTAAAGGGAGTGAGAAGTGGAAAGATACGGAGAGGTGAGGTGTACTGAGCGTGGGGCCCCTTCGCAGGCATGTACATCTGTCAAAACTCACCAGGTTGCGCGCTTTAAATATGGCAAGTTGTACACATCAAATGCATACGCTATGTTTTCAGTTGTTTCTTAGAAACTCTAACGTGCCCTCCCTTAATGGAATGCTCTAACACCCTGGCGCAGCTGAAGGCCTGGCTGTGCTTTCATAAGCTGTCTGTAATTAGCACGTGCAGGGGCCTGAACGACGGGAACTAACGGAGCACCCTCTCTTTAGCAGATTTGCCTTATTCATGTTTGACTCTGGAAACTTTCTCCCAATGCTTTCCCGCATGTTCCCGGCAGAGCCAGGACGTAAGCGCAGGTTTCCTGAGGCGCGGGCCAGTTCGCCAGTCCCACAACGTGAGAAGAAATAGAAACCCGTAGAAACCCGTGCTTGCGGGGTGCCTCGTGGTTCTCCAAGCCGCTTGACATCTGTAATCTCATTTCCTGGATTAATCCTATTTAACACAGTCGAGTGTCATGGATGAGATGGGCTGGGCGCGCATACGGCTCGTTTATTTATGGCAGGGGTCTATTCTGATGGCTCCAGGCCCAGCCCAGCGCAATTGTTAAATATCTTGAATAACCGTCCTTGGTTAAGCATTCTGGGTTTGGGAGTCAGATAGATCTGGGCTGGAATCCAGGAACTACTATTTACTAGTAGAAAACCCTGAACAAACCGTTTAAGCCCTTTGAACCTCAGTTTTCTCTTCCATAAAATGGGGAGAGTGACAATTAACTCCTTATATTGCTGCTGGGACGATTCAATGTGGTAACAGCACCCAGCATGTGAGAAACCCTCCAAGTCCAGCAGCTATCATGAGCCCCATCACTACTATTCATCCTCATACTACTCTATGAATTAGTCCTATTACTGTTTCTGTGTCACAGAGAAAGAAACCGAGGCCCAGAGAGGCAAAACCATCTGCCCAAAATTACTCCGAAAATAGGTGGTGGAGCCAGGACTCGACCTTAAGTCCCCTGCGTGGCTGCAAAGCCAGCTCTCTCTTCATGGCCCCACACTGCCTCCTGCTTGGGGCTGACAGTGCCCAGGGGGCCGGGGATGGGAAGGCATGATCAAAGTGCCTTCAAATCCCACCCAGTTGCAGCTAGAACTGAAGGAGGCCAAGGCCTGGGCAGGCCGATGCAGCCGAGACCCGGTCAGTCTCCTTTCTGGATCCTAGGCCCTGCCAAGTTTTAAAAACCAGGACACAGCCAGGCATGGTGGCTCACACCTGTAATCTCAGCACTTTGGGAGGCCTACGCAGGTGAATGACCTGAGATCAGGAGTTCAAGACCAGTCTGACCACCATGGTGAAACTCCGTCTCTACTAAAAATACAAAATTAGCTGGGTGTGGTGCCACACACCTGTAATCCCAGCTACTCGGGAGGCTGAGGCAGGAGAATCACTTGAATCCGGGAGCCGGAGTTTACAGTAAGCTAAATCACACCACTGCATTCCAGCCTGAGACTTCTCAAAAAAAAAAAAAAAGAAAAAAAATACTCAAGGGGAACTCAGGTCCTAATGCCTGTGATAGAGGCTAGAACAGTGGTCACCTTGCAGGGTATCAACTGGGAGGTGGCGCAAGTGAGTCCCTGGACACAGGTGATAGTCACGCAGTTTTATACACACATAAAAATCCATCAGGATGTACAGCTAAGATTTGCACACCTAGGCTGGGGGCAGTGGCTCACGCCTGTAATCCCAGCATTTTGGGAGGCTGAGGCAGTTGGATCACCTGAGGTCAGGAGTTCAAGACCAGCCTGACCAACATGGTGAAACCCCATCTCTACTAAAAAATACAAAAATTAGTTGGGCATGGTGGTAGGCACCATAATCCCAGCTACTCGGGAAGCTGAGGCAGGAGAATTGCTTGAACCAGGGAGGCGAAGGTTGCAGAGAGCTGAGATGATGCCACTGCACTACAGCCTGGGCGACACAGCGAGACTTAGTCTCAAAAAAAAAAAAAAAAAGAAGAAGATTTGCACACTTTACTGCATGATAATTAGGCTTCAAAACAAACAGAAAACCTAAATCTTTCCCCACAGGTCCAGGCACACATGGGAGCACACAGGTGAACATACATGCATATTCATGCACCCTCCAGCAGTACCTGCTCCGACAACAGCATCCCTAGACAGCTCCCTGCCCCCCGAGAGGACAGCGAAGGCCACCATGCAGACTCAAGCAATGTGTCTTCCTGTACCAAGACACAGCCACCTGGGCACACTCACCCTCACACACAGTGACCTTCGCAGAGCCACGCGCCCACTTGAGCCTAGACGCACGCGGTCTTGGAGACACCTGGGAGATTTTCAGCCCTAGTCTGAAGCAGGGTTTGCTGGAGAAATATGCAATCTGGACAGCAGCATGGCTGACACAGGGACTGGCCTGCTCCCCACCAGGATTCCGGAAGGAGAAGATGTTTCCTCCAGTCTGTAGCCGGGCTGCTGGAGGGAGCCATGGCCTTGGTGCTGCTTCGGCAGGTTTCTCATCAGGCCAGCAGGTCCCCCGCGCATCCTGGGGACCTGGAAAGAGAACCCAGGGTCCTGGCAGAATCAGGTCACCTGCCCTGGTCATCCTTCCTTCTGGACCAACTATGCTAGATCAACCTCGCGGTCAGCCAGTGAGTGCAGGAGTCCCCAGGGGGCCAGGATGGGGGAGCCCTGGAGGGTAGGAGGTCAAGTTCATTGCGGCAGTATGAGAAAATGGTTACACAGCTGAGCTGTGGAGCAGGAGAGCCCTGCTCGGCAAGGCTGCCCCAGCAATGCCGTTTACTAGCTGTGTGATTCTAGACACATTACTTAACCTCTCTGGGCCTCAGTTTGCCCACCTATCAAATGGAGATGACCACATTACCTGGCGGGGAAATATTACATGGTGGGTAAGGCAGTGGGGAAAGAATTGAATGACATCACACCCCACCCCTGTACACAGTCAGTACCTAACAGTGTGAGTCATTTTTATCAAAGGCCCAGGGACAGGAAGGGGCCTCTAGATACTGAGTATCTCGTGGATTGCAAAGTGACAGCCACGAGCTCAAATGCAACCCACAAATGAGCTTTGTTTGGCCTACACAGTGTCTTTCTTTCTTTCTTTCTTTTTAAATTGTTGCCAACATTTAAAAATCAGATTTCACATTTAAAAAGCCAAATTTTCTGCTTCTCTTGAAAAGTTCAAAGATTTGGCAATAGGGTGTGCATTCCCGCCTGGCCATCATCAGCCAGAGCCGAGTGGCCGCTGCCCAGCTCCGTCAAACCCTCCTGGGTCCTACCGCCCTCTCCCATTCCCTGCCTGACCCCAGGCACTGGAGTTTGCAAACCCCCCACCACCCACCACAACCTGGCCCCATGCCTTCATGATGCACGTGCACAAATGCCGCTCTAGAGGGGGCTCTAGGGGTACAACCTCCCCCGGGGTCGCAGCAAGTCAGCACAGAGATGCCCGTGAGACTCAGATCACCTGATTTCCAGTCCTTCCTGAGCACTGGTTAAATGCCAAGGAGGAAACTGGCCGGGACCTTGAAAGCTCCTGCATCTACAGCACTGCTGGGGAGTCAAGGTCATCACCGGGCATGGGACTTCCTTCCCTGGGTCTCAGTGTGTTCATCTGTAATACAGGATAATCATGATCCTCCCTCACAAGGCAGTTGTGAGGATGGAATGAGATAGAGGTCTTAGAGCAGCGCTGGGTCATGGCTCCATGAGGCCAGCATGGTTCTTGTTCGCGGTCACTCCTGGCATACACGATGTGGTTCCTAACAACCCGCTGTGATGTCACTCTCCTTAGCCTCAGCTGACAGATGAGGAATCTAAGGCCCAATAAGACTCATATAGCCATGAGGGATGGAGCCAGGATTGTGGGTTTCAAGCCAGGGTCGCCTGGCTCCAAATTACCACGCACGGGAAGCCTCTCCACAGTCCACACATAAATCACATAAATACTGAGGACCTATGTGCGGGACACTGTTACAGGCACCAGAGACATGGCTGGGAACACAAGAGACAAGGTCCCCAGCCTGAAGAGGCTCACAGCCTGAGGGGGGGGTGGGGTAACGAAGAGGCAGCAAGTCACTCAGGCTCTGGTGGCGGCAGGTGTAGGACTGTATTAGAAAGTGCCTCAATCTTCCCGAAATGTCCAGGCACACCTGTGAGCACACAGGTGAACACACACGCACACTCGTGCACCCTCCAGCAGCACCTGCTCCAACCACAGTGCCGCAGACACAGGGGCCAGGCATGGTGGCTCACGCCTGTCCTCTCAGCACTTTGGTAGACCCAGGTGGGAAGATCCCCTGAACCCAGGAGTTCAAAATCACAGTGAGCTATGATTGCACCACTGTACTCAGCCTGAGCAACAGAGCAAGATCCTGTCTCAAAAAAGAAAGGAAGGAAGGGAGGGATGGAGGGAGGGAGGGGAGAGAAAGAGAGGAAGGAAAGAAAAAGAAAGCAAGAGAGAGAAAGAAAAGAAAAGGAGGGAGGGAAAGAAAGAAAGAAAGAGAGAGAGAAGGGAGGGAGGGAGGGAGGGAAAAAGGAAGGAAGGGAAAGAAAGAGAAAGAAAAGAGAGAGAGAAGGGAGGGAGGGAGGGAGGGAGGGAGGGAGGAAGGAAGGGAAAGAAAGAGAAAGAAAAGAGAAAGAGAGAGGGAGGGAGCAAGGGAGGCACAGTAGGTGCCTCACTATAGTAGTCAGGGAGGCTGCTGCAGGGAGGTGACATTAGGCAGGCACCTGAGGGCTGAGAAGGAACCGGCCATGTAATGACAAACCCAGCAGCAGGAAGAGCCATGAGGAGCTGTGAAGGCTCCGACTGGAAGGAACCCAGCCTTCTCCAGGCATGGAAAGAGGCCAGTGCAGCTGGAGCAGAGTGGGGAGGAGGGCCTGGGAGCAATAAAGTCAGAGAGGGAGATGCGGCCCAACTACCAGGCACAGAGCACCCAGCTAAGAAATGCCAATCCCTCTGCTCTTCACCCCGGCCCACGGTGTGCCTGCCAGGCGCGGCCCTGAGCACTCCTCCTGCAACGCCTCCTTCGCCCTCTCCAGGCGTCTATGCTGCATTGTCCCACTTGTCAGATGAGGGCACTGAGGCTTAGAGAGAGGCAGGCGCTTGCCTAAGGCCCCATGCTGGGGAGGACGGAGGACGGGTGCAGGCCTGGAACTCTCCGCGCTCCAAGCCAGGCTAAGCCAGCCGCCGCCCCCACCATCAACCAGGAACAGACCTGTCTTACAGGCTTTGATGCGATCCGTCCTGGGACAAAGGGTCACTTCCCATCCCAGGCAGGCCTCTTCCCGGTCTTACGGCCCCCGTCCCAAGTAAACCCAGGCTCCCAGCTCGTGGACATAGACATACACAGCACACACACAGTGCCTATGCACACACACACGTGCACACACACACACATGCAGCAGCCCTGCCGGAGGATGAGACAGGAAACCGTGCTCTCACAGGGAATGAGCTTCCAGGCATCAGGTGGCTGTGGTCGCGCCAAGCTCCTCATCCCACTGGGGCATAACCCATCATCTAGGCCGGAAGCTTGAGCACTGTCCTCAGCTTGCCTCTCTCCTGCCCCGGTCCCACTTCTGATGGCCGATGAAGCCTGCCCATTCTCAGCCCATCTTAGCTTTGGCACCCATGGCTATCTTCTGTGGGGGCCCTAAAGGCAAGGGTCTTTCCTGCTTTCATGTCCCCTCACCTGTCACCACCTTTGCTGGCGAAGCAAGAGCCAGGCGACAGTGGCAGCTGCTGGGGACTTAGGAGTGGAGAAAGGAAGGGCTTTAAAGGAAGATCAGGGCAGTAGAGGGGTGATGTCACCAGCCCACGACACTTATGATTGATGCCAACATCACCCTTTAAGACACACACACACACACACACACACACACGCTACACTCGCAACACACAAATACACACACACATTCACACACACACGTTCACACGCACACAGTCTTGCACTCACACAAATACATTCACACACACACATACACACTCACACACACACACACTCTCTCTCTCTCTCTCTCTCACACACACACACACACACACACACACACATCTTAAGCTCCTATTCCATGGCTATCAGGTTGCAATGCCGCTGCTTCAAGACAAAACAGGAAATCCCATGACTGATCCAGCCAGATGGGGCAAGGGGCTGAGAATCTGAAACCCCCTCTGCTCTCTGCAGTCACCCTCCTCCATCCCCCATCCCACCTCCAGCAGGCTGGAGCTCAGCGGCAAGAACCCTCCCAGGGCACCTCCCTACCCCAGGCACTGACAGCCGGGCCTCCATTGGATTCAGGGGCCCGAATTCCTGGCCAGAGCAAGCTCCCTGCTCCACACAGGGCCTCACGTCTCCATCGGGAAGTCGGGGGTGGATGATTTCTGAGGGTCTTTCCAGTTCAGATACTCCACCTTTTTTGGACATTTGCCTCCCACAGACGCGGGGGCTGGGAGTCCCCAAAGTAGAAGGTGCAGTCGGCAGGAAGGCCAGCAGAGGGCACCCGCGCTTCGTCTGCAGGAGGTCCGCGTCCGGAGATGGGCGACAGGGCTGGGAAGAACGCTGGGAACACGGGGCTTTGCTTTACCCCTAACCCATGCGGATTTTCACAGCGCTGCGCGCAGTTCCACGCGCAGGCCTCTGTGCCTTCGCACATGCAGCGCCCCAGCCGGCCTGCGAAACTGAGCGGGCTGTCAGCCCGGGGAGGCCTCTCCTGACCCCTCTCCTCTGCCGCCTCTGGATCCACAGTGCCCGCGGCAGCTCTGACTCCTGCAGGCACCAACCGCGGGTGGATGGAGGGACGGAAGAAAGCCAGCTCCAAGCAGCTACGTGGTCGTTCTCCAGAAACAAATAATTTGACGCGGAAAACTGCTGAGGAGGAAAATCGTTTTTAAAGACTAAAACACTCGCTGAGGTGTAAGGGCTGGCACCATGACGTTACTTAATCCTAACCAAACTCCTTGTTGGGATGGGTGATATTACCCCCATTTTACAGAGAGGGAAAGTGAAGCTTAAAGACAGCAGTGGCCCCACGCTTGGCGGTTCATGCCTGTAATCCCAACACTTTGGGAGGCAGAGCCGAGGAGGATCACTTGAGCTCAGGAGTTCGAGAACAGCCTCGAACTAAAAATACGAAAAATAAAACAGTCGGGCATAGTGGCCTGTGCTTGTAGTCCCAGCTACTTTGTAGCCTGAGGCGGAAGAACACCTGCACCCAGGAGGTGGAGCCTGCAGTGAGCTATGATCAGGCTGCTGCACTCCATCCTGGGTGACAGAGGGAAACCCTGTCTCAAAAAAATAAAAATAAAAAAGAGAGACAGCAAGTACATTGTCCAAGGTCAGCCCAGCAAATATGTGGGAAACCCGGGATTCTAACTCCAGTCTGTTGCACTCTTCATTCTGCTATGACCCAAGCCCCTGTTCTGAGCTCAGTCCTGTCCCGATCCCTAGCAGAGTCTTCTGGGCGATCCTGAGACACAGACAAATGCAGACAGGTCCCAAACAGCCTGGGGTGGAGGTGTTCCCTCAAACTTCTATCAGCTCAGCCTCACTCAAATGCTAGCCCAATGCGGACTCTCCTAATAAACACTAATATCTACAAAGTGCTATGAGCCAAGTATTAACACTTTGGATGCTACATTTTATGATCCTCAATAAAACCTGATATGAGGCATAGTATCCCCCTTTTACAGATAAGGTTAGTAAGATTCTGAGAGGTGAAAGCATTTCCCAAGGCCACACAGCTAACAGATCACAGAGGCAGGACTCAAAGCGAGCACTGTCCATTTCCAAAGCCCAGGTTCTTACCCACAACTTAAACTCACTTTCTCCCTCCTCCAGCAGACACTCCAAATGGCCTCTCCTCACCAGGCCTTCGCTGAATTCTTGTTGAAAACGTGCTGACCGTGCACTTCCCAGGCCCCCTGACATCAGTCAAGGCCATGACCCCAATCTCTGGAGGGGGAGCTTTGGTGAAATAAAAGGAGCCTCTCTCTCCACTCCAGAAGCAGAGGGCCCCCCAGACCTTTGTCCCGACCTGGGCTCTGAATCACGCAGACTCTGCCCCTGGGACCAATTTACTCTGGGCTTGCGATAGTCCTTTAATAGGACTCCAAGACTCTGTTTCCTCATCTGTAAACTGAGATACAGGTTGTGTATCCCTTATCTGAAATGCTTGGGACCAGAAGTGTTTTGGATTTTAAACTTTTTTGGATTTGGGGATATTTGTGTTACACCAATTGAGCACCCCTAATCTGAAAATCAGCAATGCAAAATGTTCCAGTGAGTATTTCCTTTGAATATCATGTCAGTGCTCAAAAAGTTTCCAATTTTGGAGTATCTTAGATTTCAGATACTCCCCTTAGCGACACTCAATCTATAATAGTATGAGGGCCCCAGGGCTGCTGAAGGCACTCCTGTCACACTCACAAGCTCACTCCATGCTAGCTCCCTTCCCTTAAACCTCCCAATCTAGACACCTGGCTCTGGGAGGTCTCCTGCTCATTCATTCACTCAGCAAATCTCTGGGCACCGCTGATCTGTGCTGGGGCCAGAGCATGGAAGAATGAAGCAGCAGAGAGGGCTGGTTAAGAGGCTACCTCTGCAGAGACTGCT